CCGAACTCAGGAGCGTCCGGTGGAATGAAGTGCCATTCTATCTCACGCGTTTGGCAGAACTGGTGGATTCCCTGGACCGTTTTCTGATTCGTAAACTGTACAAAGAGTTCGTTAATTTCATGATGCGCTCCTTTAAAGTTTGTGGCGTTATCGGAATAAAGCCGCTGTACTAAGCTTCGACGACTGACGAATCTTTTCAATGATGCCAGGAATGCATTGGTGCTCAGATCAGAAACCACTTCCGAATGGATGGACTTTGTAGCCATGTAAACATATACCGCCACGTAAGCTTTAACTAGTTTGGCACGGTATGTGCCCTGTTTAACCCACCTAGGGCCCGCATAATCAACACCTGTAGCAGCGAACGGTGGCGATGGACGTACTCTTGATTGTGGCAAATTTTCCATGAGCTGCGTAGTGTCTTTCGGGTTGGTACAGAAACACCTCAAACAGCTGCGTGTTACCTGCCTGATGGTAGAACGTGAGTTGACCAGTCAGTATCTTTGTCCAACATGAAGGAGCTCCCTGTGCATGCTTCGGACAAACATTCTTACCACTGGATCCTTATCGGGCAGGATAATAGGATGCTTGGATTCAAAGGGCAATGCTGACTTATCCAGACGTCCACCAACACGAAGTAAACCGTCCATGTACACTGGACGTAGGTTACCAATTCTCTTACATGATTCGCCTGACGAAGCTAGCTTGATCTCGTCGCTCAAAAGAGTATGCTGAACAAATCTAAAGATTTCATCGCTTGCTTGGCGTAATTCGCAAACGGTTAAGTACGATTTCTTCACTCGTTGACACGGATCTTTCTTGCGACAGTCATCTAAAAACCTCCGAACATACGCCATGATTCGCTGAAGCTTGCGGCAATCGCTGTAGATATGCAAGAACTGGAACATAGAGATGTCCACTTTGGCTAGTGCTGTCACAACGATCTTCATTTCGGGAAGTGGCTCAGGAGTAATGCTCTCTGCTATTTCCTTTTCATAGTTTGGATGTGTTAGAAATTCTGGGCCGTGTTTCCAAAGACGGTTCTGGCTAAGAGCTTCAGGTAACTGCCCCCTCAAGACGATGTCAGCTGGATTATTCTTCGAACTTACGTACTTCCATTGGTAATCCGCCGTGATACTACAGATCTCCGCTACACGGTTTCGCACGAAAATCTGGAGCTGGTCTAACGGTTTTTTCAACCACGCAAGAACAATGGTGCTGTCCGACCATAACACGACTTGACGGAATGCCATTTTCATTGCTGGAATCACCTTTTGCATCAGACGAGTCAAAAATAATGCTGCACACAGTTCCTTCCTAGGAATCGATAGGTCATGGAGTGGCGCCACCTTTGATTTGCTTTCCAACAACACAAGCTGTGCAGATCCATTCGGGAAAACACCGGGCAAAGGTGTTTATCCTAGACAAATGGTAAGTTACAAATTCGCTGTTGTCGTTGTCGTAGGCGCCGTCGTAGGCAGTACCGTTAACATATTTAAAATTAACCACCAACCGCTGAAAATATGAATTATCGCGTATTTCTGTTGTTCATTACATTTTACATTTGAATAGCTTGTTCAACCAGGTTTTAAACAATCGTCACGTCGGTCATAGCTTGTTATGATTACCTGAACCATGCGTAAAGAGAAAATCGAAACATTTAACGTCGCGTGAAAATGGATCTTAATGAAGGCCTCTTTCATAGCTTTTAGTTTAAGGATTTCAAAGATCGTCGGTTGCAGTGGCTTGCTAACTGAGCAGAAAAACGCGGTCCCAGATCCTTTTATATTAAAAATGTATGGTTAGATCGCTTGTTTATCGTGTATTTCGTATAACTTTTCCTTGTCGTCGGTGCCGGTCTGAATAGTCATAAAAACTTGAGTAACGCTATAATGTGATATGAGGGGCTCGGTGGCCTTAGAGTAACCGGTTTTGCTTACTGAGCAGAACATCATGAGTCTAATCTCAAGCCCATCCACATTCAAGATTCGTCAATCGTTTTATTTGTTAACATGACTACATGGTAATAACAGCAACTCGATGATAAAAAAGGAGCTCGTCTGCCTAGTGGCAAACGTTTTTGCCTACTGAGCAGAAGACCGTGGGTTCAATCCCAAGCTCCTTCGCGTTAGATGATTGTTAGGACATCAATTCAGCTTATCGTTTATCAAAACGAACCCTGCTGCAAACCCAACCCTATTACCCAATATCCCAGTGATTCCTCGTGGAAGTGCGGAGGTGTTCTCGGCTTCCATCAAAGCGAGTGTCACGTCAACACATTTCTACCCCTTCCTTTCTTGACCTGTGTTCGGGCGCGGCCGGCGCTGGTATTTCTTAGTTTGAGATCACCAGTTTTTACACGTTGAGGATGATTGCTAGTCCCAACCATCGTCTATTGGTTCTCTGTGTAATTACAGCTGGTCTGGAAATAACAGAGTAGCAACCGTGGGCGGTCAATCATGCTCATGCTCATGCTTCGTTTTATTCTCGAGTGATTGGAGTTTTCGGTTGTGCTGTTGCGGTGGTCGCATTTTGTTGGTTTTGAAGATTGTTACACCAATATCCACCGAAATGCTGGGACTAGTGAAGTGTCAACGATGAAGCAACCAGATCGAGAAAATATTTTTCAACAAATGATTTCATTCAATGAATTGCCTGTAAAATTGACTCTTGGTTTGACAATCGAGCAGTTCCAGGCCAAATAGCGAAAAATATAAAAAAATTCATGAAACTTCACATAATTCTTGACTAGAAGATTGCCCAACTGAGATTGTGCTGACATTCGGCAATTTTGGCTCACGCCTAATTTTTTAAACTGGTGTATTCGATATTTTTCAACAAATCATTCGATGAAAACGGCTCATCTAATCGAAATGATGTCTAATACCCCGTACAGACTATGGCTTATATCATGTAATATAGGCTGTCTTGCAATGAGCACTCATACATCTAATTTTCACTGAAAATTCTATGTATGAGTGCTCATTACAAAACAGCCTAAATTACATGATTTAAGACAAAGTTGTTGGAAACTTTTTTTTTAGAAAAAAAAACACTGAAAAATAATTTCACAAATTCGTTTACAAATGAAAAAAAACTATGCAAGTGCAACAACAAAAAATTACATTTGTAAGATTCTGAACTAGACACAAAAGACTCTTCAAATTGACCTACATCGTACAACATGAACTCTTAGTAATTGTTTTGAACTTTTTGTTCATGTAATATTTGTAATATTTGTGCAAAAGAAACGATTTTTTTTTTGGCATAAAAAACAATAAAATTCTTTAAGGAAAATAAAAACTTTAAAATTTTGGTCAACCCTGAAGTGTCTATAAAAAAAGTTTAAAAATCTTAAAAGTGAACTTATTTTAATACCTTATTAAGTTGTCTCTCCTTTTCATTCTACTAATATTGTTACTTTCACTAATTCACTATTCACTATCACTATTTTCTTTCACCATCACTTTAAAAAAAATCTATTACAAATTCGTATTTTGTTTACAACTTGCAAACTTCTTCATATTTTTTTTCAATATTTATTTTAGAAATTTTTAGCCTAAGGCTAGTTCATCTCTACTTCTTCATATGTCTTGTCTATGACTAGACACTGAAGAAGTTTGAAATTAATAAACGAAATACCTATCTGTTATAATTAAAAAAAAAAAAAAAAAAAACTGATAGTGCAAGTAAATATTGAGAGTGAATTAGTGAAAGTAAAAGTGATACGATAGTAGAAGAATTAAAAGATAAAAAAAAAACTACGTAATAAGGTCTGTAATTATTCTACTAAAACATTCAGTAATTAATATAACTTGGTTATTGGAATTTTTATCAGCGTTTTTTTTTTTTTTTTTGAAAAGGCAATCCAGTTTCCAACAACAATTAGACGAGTTGTTTTCGTGCCATGATTTATGGAAAAATATCGGAAAATAAAGCGTGAGTAAAAATGGCTGAATTCCAGCACAAACCCCGCATTGCCCCTAGTGCGAACTTTCATTGAACTCGGAGATGGAAAAATAAAAGCAATTCGACAGTTGGATGGAACTGCTCAATCGTCTTCACTGCTCTCAATTTCATGATGACAGTGTCTTCTAATAGGAAATGAAATTTTTTACCGGATTCCGCGAAAATTTGCTCCAAAACAAGCCATCACTTCCCGACATAAACACAAATGAACTTTTTTTTTTTTTTTTTTGCATACATTAACTAAGTGATGATCTGAAATATGTACAACCTTTATTCTTCATACTCATTGTTGAGCTTTGAAGATGAATAAACGCTTTATTATTGGTGAATTTAGTAATTTTAAGCATCTTATAAAAATCCTGAAGTCCCTGGATTGCACGGGATTTTTCTAAACCCAGGAAACAGAACCCTTTACAATGTGTCAATATGAAAACGGTCAATCGTCAAAATAGCGCACTCCAAACACTAATAATCAACCTTAGTAGAACCTATGCGCGTGAGCTGTTTTTGAAAAATGCTGTAGATATACAGATTTTTTTTTTATTTTATTGTAGTGCAACGCTTGCCATCATATTTGTCTTTTTATTAACATGTTTAAAACGCCCATTCGAGCCATTTCTTACTTTGAGCACTCATGCTTGCAGGCTGAAGTGAGCGTGAGCAGTTTGTGTTCATCGAAGTATGCTCGTACATGGTTTCAGCCCAGCCTAAAATGATCAAATTGAAGTGTGTTACTATCAGATTATTTTGAACTCAAGGTCTTCTATTGGCCGAATTCGTAATGCAATTCCCAATTCGGTGAGTTTAAAAGGGATCAGACCAATTTTAGAAAATATTGACATGCAGTTTGATAGAGAGTAGTATGAAAATTATCCATCCAAGGATCACTCCTGGAATAGACTAACTCTTTACTCTCTAAAGCAACATAGTTAAGTGAACAATAGATTGGGCGTAAGCGGTCAGAAAATGCAAGCAAATGATACATGCCTCATAATTTATGAGCGTTTGAAATTCAAAAATGTACAACTAACCTGATGATCCGGTGGAGATAAGGTAGAAATCATGTTTGTTTCCATTGGTTAATCCTGGTAATAGAAACAGAGAGTGTCAGTTGATAATCGGATTATGTATCTGGTGAATTTCATTCCAGATTTTTTTTGGCTTTATTAGCTAACAGAAAAAAAAACGAGGTAGTCTTCGTAGAATAAGTTTAGGACTATTCCTATAAACCTCAATTTCTATAGAAATAAATGTGAAACTCATACTGGGTGCGATTTACCCGATCTTTTGTTAGTCTTACTTTCAAATTTGAATCAGAACATGGTTTGAGAATCAAATTTTGCCCGAAATTTTGCATCAATCTGCTTCCAATGGGAAACCCGATCTGCCTCTGTGCAAAGCTGTGAGTGTACTTCACATTTCCTTTCCCAAATCGAACCCATCCTACCCGTACATAACAAACACGCACACACACACTCACCGTTCAGATGTCCATTCTCGTAGACGAACTCGCCGTTGTCGAGCCGGTGCTTTTTGATCTGCGAGGCGGCGGCGGCTGCGGCGGCATGGTGCGACATGTGCGACGCCGGCATCGAAAGTCCCACAGGGCCTCGTTTCGGTGGTCTGCCGGGCCTAGAGCTGTGCGATAGCAGAGAGTTACTGGTGTTAAGACAGGGGTAATCGGTTAGTACAAGCTAGGCGCGAAGTGGTGTGGGGAGGATTTAGAAATGTTTCTTTGCATACTCTTTCGGCTTTTTGGGCCAATAAACAGGACAGGGGTGGGGAGAGGAAGGGGTCACATACAAAATAAAGAAGCGTAATGATTTCCGACTCATTGATTTTCACGTTTTCGGTTTTTTTTTATTCGCCGTAGCTCGATAATTATAACCCTTTCGCTATTGTAGTAGAAAGCTTTAGAGATGTCAGCTCAATCAGCATCAAACGGTGTGAAACGAAAAGACGAGGGATATTTGACGAGTACCTTCGCTTATTGTTTGGACAGATTTTGAAAGGCTTTCTTCTCGCTGCGGATGGACATGACCTCCGTGCGAGTTCCGCGGAACTGGGAGCAATTTACCGTTTCTCACCGTTCCCGGATTTCAAACAAATCGAACCTGAACCTCCTCACGTGTCAAACCGGCAACGCGAGAGTGGGAATTTTCTAAAATACCATACTTCCGAAGGATTTATGATTCCTGCTGAAGAAAAAGGCCTACTTCGTTCGGCGTGGAGCGAGAGAAAGAACACACTCATGGCACACTTGGATAAGGTAAAACACCAAGTACTTGTAATTGCAGGTTGAAATTTGATTTATGCATTTTATTATCTTTATTTTTATTATACGATTGTGCGCTTTTTGCCGAAGCCCAGCTGAAGACGGGCAGTCAGTTGGATCCGTTCTTGGGTGCAAAACTCGTAACCGCGTGAGCGGAGAGCCTTCATCGTCGTATAAATAAAAGAAACTTTTCCCTCCGACTTTGAATTGCATCAGCAGCAGCGTGGTGGCCTGCAAAACGGAAAACACTGTGGCATCCGTGAATTACAAGAATGTAAAGAATATACACGTCGAGCTTGATTTATTTCGGCGTGTAATAAAATATTAATTATATTTTCTACAAATTAATTTCGAAACATAAATATTCCATTAAGGCCCATTTCCCCGCTATTCATAATCCTTATTAGCCCGTGCGGAGGTGAGGTGAGAGACACGCAGCCAAGACACTGACTGACTGTGCCGGAATGATCTTCTCCCTGTCGGTGCAACGAGGAAAACCACCACCTTCCGTCAGTCGTGGATTATGAAAAACGTGAAAAAGTGAACGTTGAAAAAATAAAAGTAAAACACGGTGGCCACCGTCAGGAAAATACCACCCACAGATTTTCATCTCCTGCGCTGGTTGGGAGAACCTTTTTTCCCTTCAATGGGATGATGGCGAGAGGGGATGCACTGATGGTGTTGGTGGTTGGACGGCGGTTTTTGGGCAGCTTACTTTCTTACACGCTTTATCACCCTCCTGATAGTATTATGAGACGCACGGCGCGAGCCAAACCAGTCGAATGAGAAGAGGGAAGAAGAGGAGTATGAGAACAAAGAAGAAAAAAAAAACTCTTGCCAAGACACCGGCGCTATTTTGTTAAGGCGGCGTCGGCGGCACTGGACCGGTTGCGGTAGAGGATTAATAGAATTAAAAGAACGCCGGAGCGTGAGGGAATCGTACCGGGGAAGGAATGGAAAAATTTAAAAGGCCTTAAAAGAAAAGAACTTTGGAAATTAAAAATTAGAAATGGATACATAAATAAGAATGTTTTACTTCACGCTCGTGACGGTGCAAATTGAAGAGTGCGTGGTGGGACCGTTAATGACCGGGAGGGGAATAAATGGGTCATATTTCAACGGGTGATGACTGGAGGGAAATGATTCAACTTAAACACAAATTGACAAGGGGTTAATGCCGTAAAAATTTTGTGGCAGGAAAATGAAATTATGGGATGTAAAAACAAAAAAAAAACTTCATTATGATACATAAACAGAGGAACCAGAATAAATAAAACCATTTTTCTGGTGATATTGAGCGAAAATAACAGTTACAACTATTCCTGAATTACTTTCTTAAACAATTTGTTTTGGAAAAAGTAAAAAAATACAAATATCTCTAAGCTCTGAGCAAATTAAATCATACTAACCCCATTCCATACACAATTCGAACAAGCAGTTTAAATTTATGATACTATGATGCACATAAATGAAGTGTCACATATAATACAAGTTTACATTATAAATCGTGTAAATGTGTGAGACATGTCATGAAATATTCCATTGTTGTAAGCAACATGTCTTGCAAGCTGCTAGTTTACTTGAAAAGGAAGTTAACATGCATGAGAGTTTGTAAGTAGAATTCAGATTCAGATTCAGATCTGTTCAATTCAAGGTTTACAAAATTCTTTCGAAGAGTCTTGATGTGCCATCATATAATGCATAACTCGATAAATTTTTCTGCCTTGTTTTTTTTTATTCACTATGTTTTTCCGTTTTTTTATTCTAAACAGACCAATTGATTTTCTATATTTTCTTCTCAGACACAATTTCAATACAATCATCGGTTTTTGAATTATGCTGATGTTTGTTCCATAACGATCATTCCTTTATACTATGTTCGATATTATATATTCCCTGCATTACATTACATATAAATTCACCTAGCTCGGACCGTTTGGTACGATATGTCCACGCATCCTTCCACCCCTGTAGATTCACGAAATGCATCGATGTTTAAATATATTTATTCGAACTCGAATCATTTCACTGAATCATCTTTGCGGTAAATGTAACGCAGTAGGCCTGACCGTTTTGATGTTTGTGTCATATCTCAGATAAGCTGCAAACATCAATGTTGACAAGAAAAATGATTAAGCGTTATCTAACCTAATCATTTTCCAAGATGCTTTCGAGTACTGGCTGCATTTGTATTAGATTAGATTAGATTAGAAAAAATAAAAAAATCAATAACATCCGAACAACTAATATTTCCAATCGAGGGAAGACATTCCGTGTCCGCTCTACCACAAACCAGGTGAGTTTATGTTGGTTTTCGTCTAGCGGACCGTCTACAATTTGGACTTCTACATCAACACATGTCAAGGTCACAGGACAACGCCTGTCATCTGCGAACAACTCGAGTGAAGCCAAATCTCTCTGGTGCTCTGGTGCTAATTTGACAGCTCCTCCTTTTCCTCTATGATTAAGCTTGGTACATGTCGCGCCGCGTTGCGGAAAATAGATAGAGTTTTCCAGATAACGTTATAGGAAGGCATTATTCACGCAAATTGTGCTCGTCAATTCGAAAACAACTTATTTTTGATTGTCCATTGTGGGAAAGTAAGAATGATTTCGAAGGCATTACATTTATTGAAACCTTGCCACATGGTTGGAGCTTAAATTTCAAGAACTGGATCGCATTGCAGGGGGTTGGTCAAGGTACCTTTAGATTCAATTGGGTTCTTTGATTTTGAAAAATGTATCGGGTTTTATACATCATCTGGAAGATCTTCGTTTTCTGAGCACAGCGATATTGTTTTCGAACCCAAATATTTTCATCTTTTTTTTTTAATTAAGATTTAAAGCAAAATAATAGCTTCACTGTTTGACACTAAACTAAGAAACTGACTGCTCGCAAAGTGACACCAAGGGGCGTTAATAAGGTGATTTTTGCAAATGTAATCGTACTTATTTAAAATAGTTCCGGAGTACTAAAATTGAAGAAATTTGAGGTTTGGGTTCCATTTTCAATGCAGATTACGAATATGCATTCACCTCAATACCCTTAAAGAACCCAATTGGCTCAACTTGGTGAGTACGTTCCTTTTAATCCAATTTTTATCTTTTCAAACCAGTAACGCTGCTAGATCACCTTTTCGCGGTGCGTTGCTGGTATAAGATCTATCGCCAAACCCTAGTCCTGACAACTTCAAACTAGGAGAACGGGATTTTCCAGTAATCAACGGTACACATTGTTGTCCTTGTTACTTTATGCCCTGACAAGACTTGGGTAGTGAACACCTCCATTATGATTTCTTTTATATTGGATATTTCAAATCAAAAATATTATTTATGTCCATAGAGTACATATCGACAGTGAGAATGCAAAAGGGCGTTTACGCGATGATCGATTCTCTTCATCGATTTTCTCTTTGCATTGCTACAGCTAAGCGAAACAATTTTCTAGAATTTGTTCAATGCAGAGTTGTAACAGGTTGCTATTAGCTATCAAAAGCAACAGCAAACGCACCTAGAAACGTTAATTCTAGCGAGTTATTAACAAAAGAGAAAATCGACGAAGAGAATCGATCATCGCGTTTACGCCCTTATGCATGCTCACTGTCGATATAATCCTTTTCCCTTAGCCCTTCTTCTTTTCTTTTCCTTTTGCTTTTTCCTCTTATCTTTTCAGAAAACGAGTAATGGCGCTATATATATATATAACCATAAGCCATAAAAGGTTAGGGCAAAAGTTAGTGCTCATGTCCCAACCGTCAGAGGAAAATGGAGGATCACTTAACCTTTCTAGCATAGATGCTTCCATCGCGCAATCATATAATTACCAAAATCGGAACATACGGTTTCGAGATGTCCACGTTCCACCATTTATTGGATTCTGAAGCAAAGTGAACAGGTCCGATGTTTTCTGAATCATCTTGCCCCTTAAATGATGCACAGTAGGCCTGGCCGTTTCATAATGTGTGACCCATCTTCGATGTGAAACATATATCAAATAGATAAGAAAAATGATGGAGGTCATTTTCCAGAATGCTCTCAAGAACTGTCTGTGCTGGTGTTAGATTATATTAAATTTGGCCTGGATCCACTCTCCTTCAATACCGATAAATGGAAAAAATGGCTGTTATCCATATTGATATAATTTCAGACGTCTTTCTAATTTAACCTTCGATTTTCCAACCATGTAAATTTGAAGAGTACGTAAACTTCATTCTCAATTAGTCAACAAGGCAAAATATTAAACGTATTAAAAGCGATATATTTTTTTAAATTTAGACGAATTCTGCCATGAATTTTAGCACCTTCCGTTGTCACAAAGGTAAGTTTTTAACGGTAACATATTTATAAGACATTTTTGTGCAAGTAGTAATCGTTTTACGAATGT